TTCTTAAGAAATCGAATTCGTAAATAGAGATAGCATTGAGTTCACTGTTTTCTTCCCTACTAATTCCTTTCCCCGCCTGAGTTGTTGTTTGGCCGACTACTTATATACGTACATGTATATAATTACGCATTATCTTTAAAGCTGGAGATAATTCGATACATGAACGTCTGGGACGCATCGCGACGTGTCTTCTTATTTAATACCAACAAGACATATATCTAAATAAATGTTTTATTGAAAATTCGACAATAGTACAAGTTTCAGATATTGCGTAGCTGCTCGCTTGCTCTTTTATTATCGGAATAAAAAACAGTGTTCAATCAAACTTAAAACGTAAGGTACATTATATACAAGATTCTCGTGTAAATCGAAAATTAAAACAGAACGAATTCAGAGGTGTTCTTAAAAATAGGTGGTACAGATTGAAATATCGTGCTGAATATGCAACGATGTTTGTGACTCGGGGTAAGTCTCCCAGATAGTTTATTGATTTATTTATTAATCGTCCGTAACGAAGAACTCAGATCTCGTACATAAAATTCGTGCGATTTAAATTAATACAGAGTTTACAAAAAAAAAGAAACATACAGATTGTAAAAATGGATTGTACACAATAATTGTTTACATTTAACGAGGAATTCAACCGTTACGAAAATCTGTACAGGGTGAGAACAATTTAAAATTCATTGTCTGCATATCGATTACATTTGTTTTACAAATCGTATAAAAATTGTTTAATCCGTACGGTTCTATTTCCTAGTAAGTAGCTTAATAGAACATGGCAACAAATGAAACAGAAATACCGGCATAAACGTTGTCGGGACACATCAGACGGTGTGCAATGTACAAACTTTCTTTTTACAAACGACTCGATAGAAAATGGAAAAATTGTATCGATAATTCTTTATCTCCGAGCGTGTCCCGACAAGGTCCCGAGTAATTGTTGGCACTTGTAAACTGGTGGCAATAATGGCTTAGCCTCGCGGAAATGTTTTGTACACGTATCTAAAAATCGTTCAGTCCTCTTCGTTGCAATTCACATGAAAAGTATCGAGCGAGATAGAACTGGAGTTAGAAAATCGCGACGAGTATGTACATAGCAAAATGATCCGCAGGCGAGGCTCAGTCCGGAGACACGCGAAGCCTCCCCGATTCTCTAATTTTAACGAACAATAGTATTGTGAGGAGAGTTCGCGTGCCTACCTACGAGATGTACAAAACTCGCTGGCGCAACGGTGAAATGTATCTCTCGCTAGGTAAACATTTTCATTAAAATCCTATGCCGAATTTCGATTTAAAGTTCTAACTCGTTCAATGACTCTCTTTAGATCCAGAAATACAGAGACATTACTGGGCCGCGTCGATGCTCCTTCCCATCGGAACTGTTATCGTTCTCGCTCTGGTAGTCCTCCTAATGGTAACGTTCCGTTCGATTAGATACGATCACGCTTTTGGGTAATGAACTTCAGATTGATTGATAATTTCAGGTTTTGTTCAAGAGATGCCCGCAGATGGTCGCCGCGATTGTCGCAGCCATCCTCGGGATTATTATCATTTTCACGGCTTTAATGTCGATCAATCACGCTCCGATTTACGCTTAAAGTTTCACGCACACCATACACACGCGATGCAACGTCCTATCGTTGACGATAGTAAACAATTGCAAACACACTCACGCGATATTTTTCTAATACATATATTTTCTTAATTAAAGTGCTCTTATTACTAGTGCATCTTCAAGCTCATTTTCATTTCCACCATGTCCCTCGACACTCCCATCACCGTTTTTTGATAGCTGTTTAACGCTTTCTGCAGTCTCTCGTAACTCTGAAATTAGAATAGGAATTTTTATGAATCAATTTAAATCGTGTCCTAAACACACGTCTAGCTTTTAATATTCTGTCTGCTTTTATTCATTCTCAATTTCTACACATTTAATTCTCTAATAAATTCATCATCACTTACTTCAGTAAAGGTTGAATTGTGCTTCACTTCTTCTAATTCTTGCAACAGTACTTCTAAAGTGTTAACCGGTAGCCAGACCGCAGGGGTAACTGCCGTTAAATGGGTCTTCAGACCGAAATTCGTTTTACCGCTACCCAAAACAGCATTGATATATTCCACTGCCAATTCACTAGCTTCGACGATTCTGCCAGTATTCAACATTAAACGGAGCAGTTCGGCTGCGTTTCGTTTCTAAAACAAATTACATTTTAATAAACTTAAATTTTCTCTAATGATAAGAATGGATGATTCCTTCGAGTAATACCTTGTACGACATTAATAACCACTGAGGAATGAACGCTCCTTCCTGCAGCAATTTCCGGGCAACTGCCTTATGCAGATCGCTGCATTCATCCTTTTCATGTTTCAACGTCAAATATTCTAACAATCTCCAAGCAGTGTTGGAGACGTTCGTATTAGACAAACCGATGTCGAATATATCGTTCTGAATAAGCCAGTCCCAAGCATTGGGATCTTCACCGCGGCTCAATCTGATACACTGCGCAGTCAAACTTTCCAACACAGAACTTTTGCTGATTTTAAACTGATCGCATAAATGTAACGCAGTCGTGAATAATCCAATAGTCGGTAGTATAATCACGAGCTCCGACGGTCCGGCGTGCGAGACGATGTGGAGATCTGAATTTATCTTCGATACCTTCAACCTCGCGTCCACTATGTAATACTCTTTCTTTATATCGCTCAACTCGAGCACCTCCACTTGTTTCTTGATCTTGTAATGCAAAATCCCGTCATTGCTCCTTCTTAACGGCATGTCTTCGTAGTCCATGTCCTCGAAATCGTCGATCACTGGCCTGACGATCCATCTGTAGACCTCAGAGATCAAATGCAACGCGTTGATACAAGCTAGTAAACACTGTGCTTGTTTCGACACGACTGCGACCGACTGTGGCTCTTGGCTCAAACGCATTGCCTGCTCGTACATCACCGATGCAGCTGTAAAATTAAATCATTAAATAGAAACGTGAAGATCGCGTATAGAATCGAATTTTAGAACAAATGTTCCAATACCTTTACGCATGTTTCCTTTGTCAATGTGGAAGCTGTATAAGAAATTGTAGTAATTATTCTCGAGGAGGTCCACGCTCCTAGCTCTGCCTTCCACTATCCTCTCCAAATCCTCGTACATGTCGACGTACGGGAACGAGATCAGGTCTATCAGCTTCTTGCGCTCAAACAAGGTCACCACTAACTGTCTCAGACAGTCAACTCTGCGCGCGGAGTCTGGATTTGAGTTCAAACAGTTGTACGCTTTCGTGTGGTGGCCCAAATTCAAGTGCTGGGTGAACACGATCGAGTGCAGCGTCGGCAGATTAGGATCACACTTGTCTGCCATTAATATAGCCGTTTCGGCAAGCTCTATGATGCAGTCCGCCGCGTTATGTTCTTCAAACAGTTTGATGACTTTCAAGTAATACTGAATTAATGAATTGTTCTCGGATATCATGTTAGTTTCGAGCACGGCGTCGGCTAGAAACTCGTCGACCAGTACACCACCGGAGGCTCTTAAAAAATGATCGCAAGCCTTCTGTGCTTCTCCCATTTCTAGCAACGCGACGGCTAATATGAACTTCCTCGACGCGCTGTTCCATTCGCACCAGGTATTCAAAAGCCTGACGTATTCTTGGACCAGCAAGAACTGACAGCTAGAAAGCAACCATTCAGGGAAGATGAAATTCCCCGATCTCGGCCATCTGATCAAGTTCTATTAAGAAATCGATAAGATTGAATAGAAAAACAAGTGGATTTCTTTTTTTTTAATAAAAGGATACATGACTTGTGCGATGAGCGTGATGTGAGTCAGCATGCCGTAGTGCCACGGGATCAGGGTGCTCGCATCCAGATTTGTGTGTGCCATCAGATTGTGAGCGTGCTTCGCGCCGCTGTTTTGTATGAACAGTTCCAGCAAAGACAGAGACCGCGGTTGCTTGTATCCCGTGTCCTTGTACCTCGTGTCCAGATTCGCTCTTGCATCGATAAGCTTCAGCAGTGCTAAACGTTGAACACTGGAGTCTAGTAGCGACTGTATGGGTATTGGTAATGCTGTAGATTCGCAGATCCACGTGAGAACGTAGTAAGCTTGCGTTAAGACGACTGTTTTCGGAGCTAGGGAAGATTTAATGGAATGCAGCGATCTCGAGTCGAACAATTCAGGTCTCAGCAGTATCATTTGTTGAAGAATCAGTAGATTCCTGCAGACAGCGAATCTCAGTTGAGTTACTTGCGCCACGCTCTTCGAAATCGCGGATATTCCTAATTGACTACTGAAGAAATGATTTATATTAAGTAACATTTTCGAGGTATCGTGATCCTCGTCATTCAACTGCATCTTGTCTGGTTGGCCGATATCATAGGTCAACGTTTCTAGTAGCATCGCCATAGCACTGGATACATCTCTGACGTTTGATAATTTGTGACAACTAGGATGGTGCGTGATGAACGTACTGATCGGTTCTTCTGACTCCAGCATCAGTTTTGATAATAAATCGTCGACGATGATGTCAGGACTTCTCAGATGATACAATTCTCTCTTTATCGCTGTTTTAATCTCTTCCGATAGCTGCTCGTCTAATAATACCAAGGCTGACATTAACGTTATCAGATCTTGACAAATATCTTCATCTTGCGATAAAACCGGCGTCGCCTTAAACCGCGAGGTGTACGATCTCTCGTTGCAAAACATCAAATACTCCAATGCTTCCATCGGTCTCAAAAGCGAGAAAGACGACTTTTTGAGTAGAACTACTCCATAAACGCTTGGTAGTAAGAGTATTCCAACCGGTCTGGTACTGTTCGCGTGATACTGTATAACGCAGGAGTAATACTTGGACCAACAGCGATTCGCAATCTCTAAATAATCTTCGTCCATCAGTTCGTAATCCATGATCTCAGCCTGGATCTCCGCTTCAACCGCGATACAGACGCGTTCCTTCAATTCGCTGCTAGACAGGATTTTATCCTCTATAATATTAGATCTACGATATATGTTCAGAGCTTTCGCTATATCTGCTAAGGAGAATTGTCCAGGATGGAAGATGTGATTGATGTAAGCTTGTCTCGGATCTGTGTCCGCATCGCTCAGGATGTAATCTCTGTCCGGCGTTTGTTCCAAAACTGCTGCCTCCCATTCGGAATTCACACGCGTACCATTTAACGCTAGTTGAGTATGCGTTACTTCGACCGCGTCCATGTCTGTCGTTCTCCAGACTGCCCACAATCGCGTGGTTGTGAAAGAGAAATCCACTAGATGTTGCTAAAAGGTTCAATATAATTATTAGTATAAACATTGGTTTAATAAACAGACTGCAGATTTTTATATAAATTGACAGAGAATAGAATTGTACGTACATCTTGTGCGAACCTGGTGCACAGTCGAACGAATTGAAACATGCCGTTCTCCTGGATCGGTTTTAATATACTGAACTCGCATCTCGTGCTGAATTTGAGAAAGGTGGCTAGATACAGTTCGTTGTTAGGACCTAAAGTCTTCCGTAAAACGTGACCCTGTGCTCCCTGGGATGCTACGCGATTATCGATCGCCGCGTCGGTCACGGCAACGCATTGAGCCTTGTTACAAGACCACATGCGGATATTGCCTTCGCGGCATAAAGCAAACAGATATGTATCGTTCTCGCAATTGTGTATCGTCAACGACATAGCCACGTGAGCTTCGGACGTGCGTCCTCTCAAAGCCGTAGCTATGCCGCTGAGGAATCTCGGGACCATCGAATCTTGCTTCAACTCGCTGGCATGTACGAGACCTGTTTTTATATCTAGTTTCAGAAGTAGAATCGTCCCAGAATTGTAGGCGAGAGCAAATAAAGCTTCTTGTGGTGGAATGAACCACGAAGCGGCTGCATGAGGAACTGGAGAATCTATAAAAAAAATAATAATAATGAATATTAAGTAGTTTGAATATTTTATTTATTTCTTACTAACTCGTAGTCCCTGCATTTGTAATAACGTAAAACATCTGTGGATCCTCTTTTGTCTTCTTTACATTCTGAGTAGATGCTTCGCTAAAAATTGACTGTACGCTCAAGTCTTTGTACGTGCTTAAAGAATGATCCTATAAAATTATTAATTAGATTTAGAAAACTTGTGGCACAGCACTGGTTTCACAGAATACTTACATTCTTATGAATTCGTTCGGGATGCGGAAAGGACAGCTTGTGAACACTGGAGACAGTTGCTATCAATATGATAACAGAGTTCACTGTCTCGTGTATAGAAATTCCATCTAAAATGGGTGTATCTGTGAACTTGTATCTGACACGGCAATTGGCTAGATTGAGATCTAAACTGTGTTCAACTAACTCGAGTACATCGTGGCAGATATGCCAATAAATGAATCTGTTGCGTGTAAAATATTTTGAGCAGTCACTGTACGAGTATCCTCCGGCTCTCTCCGGAACCTTTATGTCTTGCAAGGTGCTTTGGCTCCCCCCTGAAAATCAAAGTCCTCAACATATTTTCGAAACAATATGAATTCCTATGAATCAGGGATCAACATATTTCAGTAAAATACGACAATCTGATATCGAGTCATTCTTAAAAACGTTAGTTTCGTCTGTCCGGCGAGTGCGTATGAGGTTATGCTCGCTCACCAGTGTTCAACGTGATTTCGTTCCATTTCTCCGGGACGGTTTGGTCAGGCACGACTTCCCGATAACCCAAAGGAAATTCTTCCATTTTTTTACCAGTTATAATTAAGCGAATATCCCCTGTACTACGGTCTTAAATCACATCACAGTGTTACTCGAAATTTTAGCGGGCATTCAACGCTGGTCGGTGTCACGCTTTCGCTTTGGCGCCCTCGATTTTACCCTCTGCTGCTAATTTGCATATAACCTCAATCGCGTTGCGTCAGTATTAAATATTTCTGAACGATGTAACTCGTTGAAAGAACATACACCGAAACGATGCGAACGAACGAAATGGAAGTAAACGTGAATCCGATGGCCTTAGTTTCGACGTCAAAATGCATTTCTTCTGATAAAACCTAATTTACAACAGTTCGTCTACCGGCGGATGAGAGGCTAGTGAAATGAGATTGAATAAAGGAATTGTCACAGCATTTCAGCTGATATTAAACGTCTTCTTCTCTATTCTAATTATTCTACTGAACAAATGGCTCTACGTTAACATCGGTTTTCCGAACATCACATTATCTATGATACATTTCACTATTACATTTATTGGATTGATAATCTCAGAGAAGTTCGACGTTTTCTGTATAAAAGATATTGCGATCAAGGAGATATTTTTTATTTCCATGATATTCTGTGGGTCCGTCGTATTCACAAATCTGAGTCTGGCAGAGAACACCGTCAGCACTTATCAAATGGCTAAAATGTTGATCACACCCTGTGCAGTAATAATGCAGATCATACTTTACAAAAAGCATTTTAGCACGCTTGTTAGGATCACGTTAGTTCCTATCACGTTGGGGGTGGTAGTCACATTGTACCACGACATGCAATTGAATTTTATTAAGACGGTATATGCTGTGGTTGGAGTACTTTTGACATCCTTGTACCAAGTGGTATGACTACTGCTCTTCCATAAGACACTCTCTGATTCGGTTCTTAATTCAGTTCTCTGATTCTGCTTCCTATTTGTAGATGGTAAACAGAAAGCAGAGAGAATTCCAAATGGACCCGATGCAATTGTTGTACTATCAGGCTCCGATATCTGCTGTGCTGTTGTTCTTCGTGGTTCCACTCTTGGAACCCTTAGAACAGACATTTGCAAGGGGATGGTCTTTGATAGAGACAGTACGCTTCATTCTTTCTCATAGTATATATTCGTATAATCGTTTATAGCTGTGAATTGTCTTACAGGCGTTGGTCTTGGTATCAGGCATTGTAACATTCCTCGTTAACTTAACTTCCTACTGGTTTATAGGAAAAACTACCCCATTAACGTATCCTTTCTTAAAGAGAAGATATTATTTACACGAATTAGTATTATCCTTATTTATTAATTAGTTATAGTATGGTTGGGTATTATAAATTCTGTCTGATACTTTTGAGTAGTTCATTAGTCTTTGAGGAAACGCTGTGTATATATCAAGCACTGGGAATAATTTTAACATTAGCTGGAACTATTTTATACTCTCATGTGAAAGTGAGTATGAGAAATTAGTTATTACAGATCTTTCAATAAAATCAATTTGATTTTTAGATGAGAGATACACAGGCTGTACAGAACAAGGATAAAGAAAAAAGGCCGTTGTACTCAATATAATTTTGTAACTGCTAGATTTATAATGAATAAAGTGAAATATTGTGGAACTTTGAGTTCTTCATTTTTCCTTTTAAAAGAAGAAAAAGGAGATCATTGCAGATTTACGATTGATTAAATAAAATACATGTTCTGAGACTCGCTGGCTGCTTTTCCTTTTAAAATGGAATCGCGAAGCAAAAGGGGGGTCACCGTCACACCTAGGGCCGAGGAGGATTAATTCAAACTCCGTTCAAATTAATGGAAACTTTTAAATTATATGAAGCCTTGCTCAAATATTTTCCCAGGTGCATCGGACCCGATACAACGTGCGTTAAAACGCGCTTATATACGAATCAGCTACCGCCGTGACCACTTTCGAGCAACCGGTATTCGGATAAGACATCTACCGTGAGAAAACTACATGCAAATCGCATTTCCCTTTTACGAAACCTATCGCACATTTAATAACAATATTGAAGTCTATCAAATATTTAGAAACGCTCTATTTAATTTATTCCGCATCGATTAAACGGAAAATAATTCAGCTGCTGAATTTTTCCGGTTTATCGAACTGCGTGTTTCTATAGCGACGGTCATGGCGCGAATAGAAGTTTCATCGATGAAACAGGCGCACTATCGATGCAACGTGCTTACAAAGAAAGAAATAATTATTTTATCATTGAACGATGAAGATCGAGGAGGTAAAGAGTACCGCGAAGACTCAGAGAATCTCGGCTCACACGCATATCAGAGGATTGGGTCTTGACGAGAATGGACTGGCGATACAAACCGCTGCTGGTCTCGTCGGCCAGGAAATGGCCCGCGAGGTTAGATACTTAAATATAGTAATCAGAATTTACTGAGAAGTGATTTAATTACAACGTGAAATCGTGTTCACGATTTATTATAATGATTACCTTATTCATAATTAATGATTGTCCTGGTTATTCTTTGTAATCAGGCTTAAAACAATCAACTGCTCTAATAGTAACAATTACAAATGTTTATACTCTTTTTAGGCAGCTGGAATTGTAGTAGATATGATAAAGTCAAAGAAAATGGCTGGGAGAGCTGTACTATTGGCAGGTCCACCTGGTACAGGAAAGACAGCGATTGCTTTAGCTATTGCCCAAGACCTAGGTAGCAAAGTACCATTCTGTCCCATGGTAGGCTCCGAAGTTTACAGTTCTGAGATAAAGAAAACTGAAGTCTTAATGGAGAACTTCAGAAGAGCTATTGGCCTTAGAATTAAGGAAACTAAAGAAGTATACGAAGGAGAAGTCACAGAACTGACTCCTGTTGAAACAGAAAATCCCATGGGTGGATATGGGAAAACGGTTTCCCATGTAATCATTGGATTAAAGACAGCTAAAGGCACCAAGCAATTGAAATTAGATCCTTCGATATATGAATCTTTACAAAAAGAGAAAGTGGAGACTGGGGATGTAATTTATATCGAAGCAAACAGTGGTGCTGTGAAGAGGCAGGGTAGGAGCGACAATTTTGCTACTGAGTTTGATTTAGAAGCAGAAGAGTACGTTCCTTTACCCAAGGGAGATGTACATAAGAAAAAAGAAGTTATTCAGGATGTAACGTTGCACGATTTGGACGTTGCTAATGCGAAGCCACAGGGTGGGCAAGACATCATGTCGATGATGGGTCAGTTATTGAAACCCAAGAAGACAGAAATTACAGGTAAAGTAAATTCGGTTAGAAATTGATTGAATGAAATGCAGGAATGAAAATGAGTTGGGAACTGTTTCAGATAAACTGCGTAAAGAGATAAACAAAGTAGTGAATAAGTACATCGATCAGGGAATCGCGGAGTTGGTACCAGGAGTTTTATTCATAGACGAAGTGCACATGCTGGACATAGAGACGTTCACGTATTTGCATCGAGCGTTGGAAAGCGCAATCGCTCCAATAGTGATCTTTGCAACGAACCGAGGAAGATGCGTAATCAGAGGAACAGAGGACATAGTATCGCCACATGGAATACCTTTGGATCTTCTAGACAGATTATTGATCATACGAACGCTTCCGTATTCGAGATCAGAGATAGAACAAATCGTTAAATTGCGAGCTTCGACGGAGGGACTGCAAATCGAAGACGAGGCTCTGTCCGCTCTCGGAGAATTAGGTACTAAAACGACGCTTAGATACGTGGTGCAGCTTTTGACCCCAGCGGCGTTGACCGCGAAAGTGAACGAGAGAACGATAATTAAAAAGGAGGACGTGGAAGAAGTCGGATCTCTGTTCTTAGACGCGAAATCTTCCGCGACGATCCTCACTCAAAATAAGGATAAGTTTATGAAATGAACGCATGGAAATTAATTAGGAATGTTTAAATTAAAGACTGTATTATAATTATTTCTTATGTTTTCAACAGTAGATCTTATCACAGAATTTTTCTAAGAATAAAGTTCAGTTCTAGTGAAATGCGTTCATATTTTTTTATCGAACCTTGTTTGCTTCAATTCGCGTGTTGCGAAAATGAGACTGCAGGAATTGTATAAACAATACGCGTGTACGTGCGAAGGGATTTTGCCAATATTTTTCAATGTGTGTTATAACTCCGGGTTACAAAAGTTCAAGCCGTAATCAGTCGTCGTGACATCACTGGATGATACGGGTTCACGGTATAAAATCACTGTTTACTTTCATAAACTCTTTAGTTCCTTGGAATCGATCAAAGTAACAGCTTAACATTAGAATTTAAAATAAATCCACGATGCTACACGTTTTCAAGTTAACGAAGTGCACGAATTTATTTAATAAAAATCGCGCGGTCCGCCACGCGCGTGGATTAACATTGAGCAGTAGTTTAAGGAGGGAAAAGATAGACGAGCTTTTCCCACGGAAAGATGAATTTCAAACGAGGCACATTGGTCCCCGGGAACACGAGCAATTGGAAATGTTGAAAACCATTGGATTCGAGGTAATATACTAAATTGAATTAATAAAACTTAAATCACTCATCACTCATTTACTTGATGTAACAGAGTTTGGAGGAGTTAACAAGCGCAGCCGTTCCTGCGAAAATTCTTTACAAAGGAGATTTGAAAATCGAGGAACCATTGAGTAAGTACCATCCCTTTCTGAATCATGCGAAATATTCTACTGAGAAATGTGTATACTCAAGAAACGTGAGTAGTCACACGAGTGCAGATAGGAGACACGTGCGAGCTGATAACTCCAAGATAGCGAAGTAAAGAGTTGTACAAATACATTCTTTAATAACTATTGTTAAAGAATTTTTTGTATATTAAATATTTTCTAAACATTCATCATGAATGAATGAAATCAGGAAAAGTAATATTAATAACACTGATAAAGAAAGAATAATGAATAAAATGACCTGTTATTGTGTGAGATATCGGAGGTCATGGGTTAAACTCGTGCGGTCAGATTAGCATTCACGTGATTTTTTAAGACGAATGTTCTAATTATACCAGATTACATAAAAAGATATTTGCTTTCCAGCTGAATACGAATTATTAAAAAGAATCACACGGATTTCGGAGAAGAATGAAGTGTGGCGTTCGTATATCGGGATGGGGTACAACAATTGCTGCGTTCCTCCCACGATCATGAGGAACATCTTTGAGAACCCAGGATGGTACGCGATGCTAAACCTCGATTTCAACACGATTAATAATTTCGACATAGAGATTGACCATTATATAGTTGAATTATAGGACGACGCAGTACACTCCGTACCAGCCGGAGATTTCCCAAGGTAGACTGGAAGGTCTGTTGAATTACCAAACGATGATATGCGACTTAACGGGAATGGAAGTAGCGAACGCATCGCTTCTGGACGAGGGCACAGCAGCTGCGGAAGCTCTGGCGCTCGCCCATCGAAGCAACAAAAGGAAGAAGTTGTTCGTATCTGATAAAGTTCATCCGCAGACGATCAGCGTGATCTCTACGAGGGTCACTTCGTTAGGATTGGATCTCGAGATCGGGGACGTTTTCCAAGTCGACACTAGTAAAAAGGACATCGCAGGAATCCTTTTCCAGTATCCTGACACTACTGGCTCTATTCATACGTTCGAAGACGTCGTGAAAAAAGCACAGAACGATGGAGTACGTATCTCAAAGGGAATCGAAAGATTAAAGTGTACGAATATTGTATCACGTTTTAGACAATGGTTTGCGCTGCCGCCGATTTGTTAGCATTAGCCATACTGCAGCCTCCGAGCGAATTCGGAGTGGATATCTGCGTCGGCACGAGTCAACGTTTTGGAGTACCGCTTGGCTATGGAGGTCCTCACGCAGGTTTCTTTGCATGTCGTCAAAAACTGGTTCGTTTGATGCCTGGGAGAATGATCGGAGTTACGAAGGATTCGAATGGGCAGGACGCGTACCGTTTGGCTCTCCAAACTCGTGAGCAACATATCAGACGCGATAAAGCTACTAGCAATATTTGTACCGCGCAAGCATTGCTGGCGAACATATCTGCGATGTACGCCGTTTACCACGGACCAGAAGGAATAAAGAATATCGCGGACAGAGTACATTTCTATACTTTGGTCCTTGCGAAAGGCTTGGAAGAATCTGGGAATAAATTAAATAATGAATACTTCTTTGACACTGTCAAAGTGACGCCTAAAGCATCTTTAACAAGTATAAAGGAAAAGGCGAATGCGCTTAAAATAAACTTCAGGTATTACAAGAATGAAGTTGGAATATCTTTGGATGAAACCACTACGGAGCAAGACGTGAACGATATCTACAAAATATTCTCTGCAGACACGACAGTCGAGGAAATCTGCAGAACCGAATCTTACTTAGACAAGAGTTTGAGTAAATCGCGTTTCGCTCGCACATCCTCGTACCTACAGCATCCAGTGTTCAACAGCCATCAATCTGAGACGAGAATAGTTCGATACATGAAGTCCTTGGAGAACAAGGACGTGTCTCTCGTGCACAGTATGATCCCATTGGTAAGTAAAACTGTACACGAGGAAATCGATAAGGATCGTGTATGTTCATGACGTTGATTAAATTCGGTTCAACAGGGATCTTGCACGATGAAACTGAATTCAACCACGGAAATGATGCCCTGCAGCCTGCGAGGATTCACCGACATACACCCTTTCGTTCCCCGCGAGCAGACCAAAGGCTACCAGCAATTGTTCGCGGATTTGGAGCAAGACCTCTGCGCGATAACCGGTTACGACAACATAAGCTTCCAACCGAATAGTGGAGCGCAAGGAGAGTACGCCGGGCTGAGAGCCATACAATGTTACCACGAATCGAATGAGGATAATCATCGACAAGTCTGCTTGATTCCGATTTCTGCTCACGGTACGAATCCCGCGTCCGCTCAAATGGCTGGCATGCAGGTGAAACCTATCCTCGTACAGAAGGACGGATCCGTTGATGTCTCACATCTGACGGAGATGATTGATAAGCATCGAGACACGTTGTCTTGTTTAATGATAACGTACCCGTCGACGAACGGCGTTTTCGAGGAAACGATAGGCGACATATGCGCGATGGTTCACGACGCGGGGGGCCAAGTATATTTAGATGGAGCTAACATGAATGCACAAGTTGGCCTTTGCCGTCCTGGCGATTACGGCAGCGACGTTTCGCATTTGAATTTACATAAAACTTTCTGTATACCTCATGGCGGTGGAGGACCTGGGATGGGTCCTATAGGAGTGTAAGTAATCCGATTTTCATATTCCAGAGTACAAATCGAAATCGTATTTAAAATAAAATTGATTCCACAGTAAACGACACCTCGCACCTTTCCTACCGTCTCATCCAGTGATCAGCTGTTCAAGCAACGGGAACAATGATGTGAAACAATCTGGCGCGGTATCAGCTGCTCCTTTCGGTTCCTCGGCGATTTTACCAATCTCGTGGGCTTACATTAAAATGATGGGCCCGAAGGGACTGAGGAAAGCCACGCAAGTCGCTATTCTGAACGCCAATTACATGAGCAAACGACTGGAAAAGTATTACAAGACGCTGTACACAGGCAAATCTGGACTAGTAGCGCACGAATTTATTTTGGATGTACGAGACTTCAAGAAGACCGCGAATATCGAGGCTGCAGATATCGCTAAGAGATTGATGGATTACGGCTTTCATGCTCCGACCATGAGTTGGCCGGTGTCGGGAACGCTTATGATCGAGCCGACCGAGTCTGAGGATAAAAAGGAACTGGACAGATTCTGCCACTCTCTAATTTGTAAGAATATCGTATTTGTTGAGGGTTTCTTCTCTTTAACAAATTGTAATGTGTTCTTTTAGCTATCAGACAAGAAATCAGTGATATTGAAAGTGGTAAACTGGACATGGTTAAAAACCCATTAAAACTGGCACCGCATACTCAAGAGCAAGTAATATCGAGTAATTGGGATCGACCGTATCCGCGGGAATTGGCAGCATTTCCAGCTGTACGTACATATCGTTTCTAAAAACCTATCGACGAACGGGTAAATGATATTTATCTGTATTTTAGCCATTTGTGAAGGGGAGCAATAAGATCTGGCCAAGCGTCGGAAGGATAGACGACACGTATGGCGATAAAAATCTGTTCTGCACGTGCCCTCCCGTATTACCGGAATAGTGATGAGGATAGTAATTAATTATGTACAGCTAGTTATAGAACTATTTAAATATTTATTATCATTTCTTTGTACAAACATATTATTTATACAAAAGACTATTGTTTTACAAGATAAAATATAATAGAATCCAGGTATCCTCTGTTTATCGAACGAAACCTTCACGAACGTCTCGCCTGTTCGTTTCATATATGTACAACTCCTCGCTGCTTACACATATTTTATAAACCAGGCATAAGGTACGCAATGTTATCCAGCATCTGCGAAAGTGTTTCGTGCTTAGCTCCGTTGGTCTCTGGCACTTGTTGCGTCAGGCAAATCAAGGGACCCAGTGCGCATAGGAGAGAATCCAGGAGGACGGACAGGCTGCCCGATACCGCTATTTGACCGTCGTGCTCCTTTAAACGTTCCCCGATGATCGTCAAGCTCTCGCCAAGGAGCTTGAGATGTGCGGCCACGTCGATCGGTTGGGTTCCAACGACTTTGTACATACCCGTGCCTATCATCGGCTCGTTGAGCAATTCTTTCGCGCTTCGGTTCGACGGTGGAGACACCGGAATGTTCCCTACGACCGAGGGCAGACCCAGTTGTATCATTTTTTTCGACGAAGCGGGCTTTTGCTCTTTTCCATTACCTGCAACGAAACGAGAGAACGCGATAGCGCGTTTTTAACGGGCTATACATCATCGTTCGCTGTACGATTCCGGCTATCCCTAAACGAAACGCATGCATACAAAACAAATGATAATGAGACATCTACCATCTTACTCGATAGGCGTAAAAAACAATATATGTATCGTCCGAGAATAGACGGTCTGACTAATACGCGTGCACGAGAAGCAAAATCAATATGAAATGAGCTACCACATAACTGATCCGATGAACAACATACTTCGTAAGAGAAATGATGTATGACATGAGAACCAACAAACCCACCGATTTTATTAATGAACTTTTTTCGCGAAGCAGGCGGCGGCATTTTCCAAACGGGCTCATCTTTACTCGCAGGTAAAGAATGAGGCTTTGCTGCCAAGCGTTTCGCGCGTCTGCGCCAGTTATACTTTTCCAGATTCGGCACCGTAGCCCACAGTTCTCCTAACCGTTTAGAAATAGCTGCGAAATCTACAAAAAGCAACGAATTTCACGAATAATATTAGACGACTCTCCTCTTGCCTCTTCTTAGAATGAATTTTAAGCTTTATTTTATATACCCATGTTGGGACACTGTTCTAGCAATTCTTGCCTAATCTCTTTAGCCCATAACATGTACGCGGTAAATCTCGTCTTCTGAAAACATCATCCAACTGTGAAATAATCCCTTTAGTGTAACTTCATGTGCATGGTACATACCCCTTTGTCTTTACGCTGTGCCTTCATTTTACCGATTATTTTCCCATCTTTGATAATCAGTTTTTTCTTACATTTCTCAAGCATGTACAAACTGCTCGCCTGCGTGGGCGTTGTTTCTTGGCCAGGTGGTTCGAGCTTTCGAAAACCTGCCTCTCTGTCGTCGATCATCAGAGGATCTATGTCATCATCGCTTCCAGAGTCCATACTGTATCTCTCGTCCTCGTTCAGCCCAGGGGGATCATCGTCGGATTCAGATCCCGATGATTGTCCCTCGTTATCCGACGACGTCTCTTGCTTAACGACTCTTTGCTGCTGGCCAATGTTCGAATTCGAATCTTTCCTTTGCCTTTTACCGCTACCATGCTGAATGGGCTGAATCGGTTGAATCGGCTGGCTGGGCTGTACGGCCTCGTATCTCTCCAATACCTGTTGTTGACTCTGCACGTTCTGTGCTTTCTGTCGTTTGTACTTGTTATCCGAGTAATCGTCTGGCGATTCAAAGTCAACGAGTTTCGAGGATTTCTTTCTGACGCGGCCACTGCGGGAGATACCCGTGACCTCTAGATCTGAAAGATAAAGCGGACTGCACCTTGCCAAGAAAGGGATAGGGTCCAAAATACTTCTTAACTTCTAACTACCACTCGCACAAAGTTTCAGGGGGTCGTGTCTACAAAAGGTATGCAACAAACGGTGTGGGTGATCCAAACGTACTTGGGTTAGATTAGTTCCAATCAATGGTCCGTCCTATTATTAAGATTCCCTCGATCGAACGATACCAATTGTTGTTAAATCTCGTGGACGCGTATTATAAGTCATGTACAAAGATCGGCATTCACATTCAACGAACCTTCTCAACGCCTGTCGTGTGCACGACGAACGAATACGATTCGACGGTCGGTTCTGATTTATTCGAATAATATTCTATCGGAATCACGTCATCCTATTTCGAGAAAAACCTGGCTATTTCGCACAATCTCATCGACTCTCGAATAACCTAATCGTACAATCGGCGTGAATAATTTTGGATCGCGTCGAACGTACACATATTACGATCGTCCAGGATGGCAATGGTTAGTCGGTTGCCTACTGGCTGAATTGCAATGTGTGCACATTCGGCATGGTAAAAACCGGTGTTTTTGTTCAACACATCATTAGTTCGACGAATGCTACGAACAAAAGCGCTAGTAACCAAAACGGTCTAAATATCGCAAGGAAATTCATAAATCCGCTACGAACGCGCACAAATCATGCGAGATACTGCAAGCGAGATACGAGCAAACAAGCATTCGATCTACCGCGGATCTCTCTCACGATTTAATGAAAACTGATCTCACCGTCATTCTTCTGACGTTTCGGGGTCAGGAACATATCCATAGCGTCGCTCTGTTGCTCGCCAAGCTTCTTGCGCCGCGGCGTCTTCCCAACTTTCGCGGGCTTACGAACAGTGGCGTGCATCAGGCGTACGGAAATTGTTCTCCCACCGACGCAAACGCATTTGGAATTATCTCTCAATTGTTCGACGGCAAATATATTCTCCTTCGGCGACCACTGTTTCGTTTATTTTCAGGAGCTTTTTAAAAACAACTGCGACGATGAATACCAGCATGCATCGCGCAGACCGAATGACGCAGTTACCTTGTAACGCGCGCCAATGTCTCCGATCTTTGAACCATAAAACGCTTTCCGGAACATCGAAATTCAAATGAATTAATTACAAGATCGATAAAATTATATCTTATTAAGAAATGAAGTCTGGGATATGTTTTCAGAATATTAAATGGAAAAATTTATTATTTACATTGTCATAAAATGTATATACATGAATTAAATGTCGTCTTCCTGTTGCCAGCCATCCTCGTCAGACAGAAATCTTCTTTTATGACTGGTATTCATATAAGGTCTCAAAGCCCATTCTGTGTCAGCTGCTGTTTCTGCGTCCAGAGTCCCTAATTTAATTTCGTACAACTTTAATTGGAATCTAGGCCCGACTTCCTTCAATTCAATGTCCTTCCCATGAACTTTCTTATAAGTATGATGTCTGAAAGCTATGTAGTCATCGTGATTGGCAAAAGTAATTATCCTCTTGCTGTCTTCCTTCGGTACTGGATACAGATACTTCAAGATATTCATAACACGTTGAGCCAGCTTTGTTTTAAAGTTGTGAAAGATCAGATGAGGATATTGTTCAGACATTGTCCCAATGTCAGGAATATCGTGTCTCATAATCACATCAGACATTGTAAAATAAGCAGTAGGTCCATAAGGCAAATGACAAATGATCAAAGTGTCAGGCACACCTCTGTGTTCGTGAACGATTATGAAATCTGTGACATCGTTGGCTCTGCATGCATGTACCAGCTGCTTCATTTCATAGTTTCCTCTGTTCATTCTCTGAGAATTTGGGAATATTAATCTCAGCTCCTTGGCAAACATCTTTAATCTGGAACTTGGATCACGAGACGTGGTGATTACGATTTTTGGATTCTCCACGCCAGCCCACCTGTACTCGTCGTCCTCGTGGGATCCCACGGTTCCTCCCACTTCTGTTCCAAGGGCAACAGCCATTTCAGGACCAGCATCTTCCCAAGCTAATTGTTTCTGTATATTCAAAGCATCTTTCCTGAGATTGGGATGTATCGGTATGTTTTCCTCCAAACTTCGTTTCAGTTTCTCCTTCTTCTCTTGAATATTTTTCAATTTATCCTGGACGGACTTCCTGTACAGATATTCTCTGCGAAGCCTCGCTTGTCTTCGCAACATGTTTAAACAAATACTTTTCGTCTGTTAATCTTTAAAATATTTGATTGTCAAGACGGAGGAATGCCAGGTTATGAGGCGTCCATGCGTCCATGTGCACGTGCATTGACTAGCGTTGACAGAATTTGAAATAGTAAAGAGTTATTA